ATTAGCCAGCTAAGCCAACTTGCTTATATCTGAAAAATTTCTCCCACCAGAAAAATCTCTTTTGCCATGTAAGGTAACTTATGATCATGATTGTGATATCCATCATATTTTAGTCTTAGAATTAAGAAGGGAGTCTTGGTAGAATTCTGCCTACCACAGTTCCCTAAGACACTTGTGGGTCAATTTTTATTTTTATTTATTTTACTTATTTATTGCTGGGGAATATAGAGCTATGATTTTGACCTCTGACAGCAGAATTTTTGCCCTTGTCCAACCTGTGTCTTACTCATTCTAGGGATGCCCTGATATCTGCTACCATTTCTCTGGGATATGGCATGGGTGTTGCCCAACATCATTCTTGTTTTTAAAATGTTACCTATTTGCTTTAATGTTTTCATTTTACAGTTGGTGATCTTTAAATCTTCAAATATTAATGAGCACTTATGTTTCTTAAGGATAACATTTCTTTTACATCAATTATTACCCTGTGATATACTCTGCAAAAAGCTGGCTGCCTGGATCTTTGGAAATTCTGGAAAGGGCTATGGCCTGTTCTTTGGTTCTCCAGTGTTCTTTCTGATAAAGAAACAATTAAGAAAACTTGTGTTTTCTGTACTGCTGGTTCTTTCCTTTTCTGGAGCAACTAGGAGTTTTACATTACACTTGCATTTTGACGTGATGGGCCATTTCTGATTTAAGACTTAAGTGAAAATGGATTCCTTTCTTCTCCAACCTCCTACAGCCTCCAACCCTTCACCATCTGTAGATACCTTTGTGTATTACTTCACAGAAAAAGAAAGAAAAGTAAGATTCCATTAGTTGGAAAAGCCATCAAGTTGTTATCAATGAGTCTGTCTCTTCCTGCATTCCCCACTTAACACTGAATGACTCTTGTGTGTCAGGTACTGTTCTAGTCCATGGATACAAAGCTCTGGCCAAAAATATAACTCTCTTTCACTGCTTCAATGGTTGCTGAACACAGCCGAAAATAAACAAAGAAACTGTGTATAATGTTAGGGTCGGTAAGTATATGGAGAAAAAAGATAATAAAGGTGGAAGAGGAAGAGAAAGTAGTATCTTGGTGGGATGGAGAGAGTTGTTCTCTTAAATTCCAAGTTCAGGCAAAGACTTGGGAGAAGACTTGAAGGGGATGAGGAAAAGAACAGTCAGGATTTCTGTGGGAGAAACTGCAGTCAGAAAACAGCGAACCCAAAGCCATGACATTGAAGTGAGCCTCATGTACTTAAAGAAAAGTTTGGAGATCCATGTGGCTACAATGAAGTACGGAGACAGAAAATGTAACAGAAACCTGGATTATTTAGGGACACGTCTCACACACTCTTTCTGTCTCTCTGAAAAATAAAAAGTAAAGTTAAAAAAAAAAAACTGAACGATTACTGGGAGTACTCTATCGAAACACATTGTAGAATGCAAATGGCAGAAGCAGGGAGATCAGTTGGACACTTTATCCAGGCTATGTGCTAGTCTATATTGCTATCATATGCTTGTGTTGTTTTGTTCTGTTTTGTTTTGTTTTGTTTTAAATTTTAATTCAGTCTAGTCAACATTCAGTCTTATATCAGTTTCAGGTGTACCATCTACTGATTTGTCAATTCTTTGCATTACTCAGTGCTCATCATGGTAAGTGTACTCTTAATCCTCCTAAGCCCTGAACTATTGCTCTATTTAAAATTATTAAGAACCTACTGTGTCCTCTCCATGTAAAGTTTGAACCTCTTAAAATTATATACATAATCATTCATGATCTGATCACTTTGCTTCTCCATGGATAATTTTATAATCCTTTATACCTTCTTTGATAGCACCTATGATAATAAAATCAATCATTTTCTATGTTTTATTTCTGGTCACATACATAAGTCCATGACTGAATTATATTAGGCATATTATACTGATTTTGGCCAGACAAAAATCATTGGTCCATATTGGTATATGTATATAGTTAAATATATATTTATAATTACATATACTTATCCTTATTCAGTAGAATCGTAATTATTATTGTTTACATCAACTAGAATCACTTATAGCTCTTTACATTATAAAAATACATTTTTGTTTCAAGCTGAATACTAAATGTGTTAAAGAAAATATAAAATTAACAGTAAGTGTGCTTTCTTGTATGCTGGGTTGAAAAATATGTACACTGCTGATTCTCATATTGTTCACTATAAAATGAGCAATATGAATTTGATCCCTTTTAAATCACATTTAGGAAGATAGGTTACTGAGATAACAAATTGCCATCATTATGGTTTGGCTTCATCTATAAGGGAGTTCCATACTGGGATTTGGAAGACAGCTCTAAAATCTGGTGTACTTTCTAATGCATTGAAAGCCACGGTGGGATTTATTTCTTCAGAGACATTGCTCATGTCCACGAAGCTTCATGTCATGAAGCAAGTGCAGCTGAGTTTACTCTATTACAGAGCCTTGAAATAAATTGTTGTGACCCACATAACTTGCATTCTCTTTCAGAAATGTATATAATTTCTCAAGGGATCTTGTGAAATGCTGCAGAATGCCAAAGAGTTTATATGTCTAGGCGATAAGACCTATAGATTCATACAGGAAAAAAAATGATACAGATATTATGGGAAGGGGAAATTGGGCGTTTGAGGTCTCTTTGGTGTGATAAGAATGCTGAGCTGAGTAGCCATGTGAGTCACATCTAATGTGCCGTATATTTTTTCTCTTCATCTGAAATGAAACAGTTGACCTGATTATCTGGTATTTAACAGAACATCATAAAGCCAGAGATCCAGTATTAAAACTATGAAATCAGAAAAAATTATTAGTGCATTATTTGGTTTTGTATAGGGTATGAGGAAAAATAATTTTCCTCAAATCTATATGCTGATTTTGAGAGAAATAGATGCATGAAAGTATAACCATGTGGATATTTTGAGTTGCAACTTTGTACCAAGTTATATATCATTTTTTTCTCTTTACCTAAAACATGTTTTTTAATGTAACACCAAGAAATAGGTCTTTTCCTTCTTACCCTTATCAATTATACTGAATTTGTTTAATTAAACACAGTTTGCATTATGTGTCATCATAGGTTGGCTAGTCATCCATCGATCCATCCATCCATCCATCCATCCATCCATTTAAATAAGTAGATACATAGTCTACATAGATTGTCTATGTACATAGATAGATGCATAAATATTCCACCGACATAGATAGATGCGTAGTTAGATGATAGATTGGATAACGGGTAACAACAAAACTACAGTATGTTCACTTTGAATTCTCTCCATGCTCCAAGATGGCTCACCACTTGTGTGAGGGGGTGGGAAGGAGGAAAAAGAGAATGTGAAAAGCATTCTTACTCTGTTTAAGTAAAGATTTTCCAAAGTCTGATTACCAGTTACCATTTTTCAGGAGACAGTTCTGTGGCAAGAAAGTCTAGGCAGTAAAATCTTTACCTTTATTAACATGTGAACAGCTAAATTTCAGGGTTTTGCTGCTAAATATGAAAGAATGGATGGATTTGGGGACTATCTGGCAATCTATGCAAAAACTATGTGCATAAATTGATGAAGATAGTATGCCAAAGAATAATAATTATGGCAAAATACCAAATGTGGAACTGAAGGAATTTAAACAGTGATCTAGAATCACTAAACTATTTAATAATCAATAGTGTCTGTTATTTCTCTTCTCTTCTTAAGCATGTCTTTGGAAATATATTGAGATCGCGGCATAAGTCATTAGTGCCATTTTATATTTCACTCATATCTTTCCTCTTTTTTTCCCCTTTGTTCTGTGTTTTGGAAAAATTCTTAAATTAGCTCTTCCAGTGAATAATTTTCAGCCTGTGTCTGTTTTGTTGTTCAATACGTTGAGGAGTGCAATTTAAAAATGAGCATCATATGGTTGAACTAAAACTTTTATCGAGCCTTATTGTCTTCGTTTATTTTAATGAACACAATACTTTTCATAATCTTCTTATTAATCATATTTAGTTTAGAGCTTTAATTTTGTTCTCCATATTAACTATCTTAGCTAATATAATAAATTAATTCTCAAGGATTAATTTTGTTGATTTCAGTGTTCTCAAACTACTGTCTTCCCTAAAATAATTGCTCACCATATTTTTTAAAAGGCTAGTTTAACCAGATTAGGAAATTCGAGTCTGATTTCTCAGTCCAGGTAAGTATCCCTGTTTGCATGATAGCCCATACTGAATCTGATTACAGGCGCTTTACTTCCAGAGTATGTATGTTCAAGTACTAAAGTGGCTATAGTAGACAATCAAGTCTGGAAACAGGATCAAAGGATGATACTTTGGGCCTTGTCAAACACCTCTAGTGTCAGCATTATCTCTGCATTTGTGGGGACTCTCTTGACAGACAGCTTGACCTAGGGCCTGCCTCTGGTCTGGGTTTCATGGTGAATTCAGCTACTTTAAAATGTGAGAAAATGCTTGGTGGTTTTTATTGCCTATGATTAATTTCCTAGGAGAATTTCTTAGGAGAAACCCAGCGCTGAGTTTCTTTCCTTGGGGCAGAGTTTCTCAAGTTCGGTAATATTTGGGGTCAAATAATTCTTTGTTGTGAAGGGCAATTTTGGAAATTGTATGCTATTTAGTAGTGTCAAAATGCCAGGAGCACCCAGCATCCTTGTCTCTATGTCAAATGTCTTTAGGAGGAAAAAAAACAAAAAAACAACAATCCAACTGAAAATCACTGCTTTAGGATTCTATGGGGGGAAGTTTGTGGCAAGATAAGTTGTCTCTCTAGGCTACTAGGCACCTCACTTCTAATTTTGTGTCTGTTATTTTGTTTTCAGGAAATTCTAATATATCTTCCCACTGGAAACCACTGTTCCAGAGTTTTCCAATTACATGCTTTTACTTGATTAACTACACACTGCCATTTTATAATACTATGTTCTTTTCTTAGAATTCTTTTCCCCTTGAATTCTACAGACCATTCTCTCTTTGTTTTACTTCTACCTCATGTGTTCTTTTCTCCCAGTGTTTTCCCTGTTCCAATACTCTAGAACCTTTTCTCAATCACCAGTTGGCCTTTTGATATTTCTGCTCTGCTGTCATAGCACCTGGTGTCTAAATACTTAGAGTGTGGTTTATGGAGTATAACAGCCTGAATGGAAAACGTCTGGCTTTCAGCAAGTCTTAAAACTATCTAAGACTCACTTTTTCTTCTATAAGGTACAGGTTAGTAACATAATGGTAATTTTTTAAAAAATGATACACACAATTCAGTTAATACTTTTAACACAGATCCTGATACATAATAAGTACTCCATAAATGAATTGTGTTTGTGTAGTGCATACTATTTTCCATTGGAATTGAAGATTTGCTTGCTAGATTCTCAGCTTTTTTGAGGGTCAAGATTTTGATGTTTTTTTAGATACCTTATTCCAAATTGGTAACATAGTGTTGGGTCCATAAGAAGATGTTGAATAATATATATGTATATACGTGATCCATATACATGTATACATAGATATATCTGTGTGTACATATTTGTACGTATATATATATGTATGTATATACATATATATGTATATATGTGTATATAATAGAATTACTTAAGCCTGAATTTAACAATAATTAAAATAATTAAAAATAAAAAATTCTCACATTTGAAAAAAATCCTATTTTCACTATCTACTAGAAAAATATTTACACATTTAACAAAAAATTGGAAATTTTCAAAACACCCACTTAAGAAGGCCCTTAAATGTAAAGCAACAATATAATAATAATGATATTAGTAGTATAGTAAATGTATTTTCAGTTCTGTGCAACAGTAATTAATTGTAAAAGATTTTCCAAAAGTATGGAGCATTCAAAAAAATGTTTTAATTTTTTATTTATTTTTGAGAGAGAAACAGAGAGACAGAGATCATGAGTGGGGGAGGGGCAGAGAGAGAGAGGAAGACAGAATCTGAGCAGGTTCCAGACTCTGACCTGTCAGCACAGAGCCCAATGTGGGGCTTGAACTCAAGAACCGTGAGATCATGACCTGAGTGGAAGCCTGGCGCTCAACCAACTGAGCTACCCAGATGCCCCAATGTTGATTTTTGAGAGAGAGATAGAGTTCGAGTGGGGGAGAGGCAGGAAAAGGGGGAGGCAGAATCCAAGGCAGGCTCTAGCCTCTGAGCTGTCAGCACAGAGCCTGATGCAGGGCTCGAATTCATGCACTGGGAGATCATGACCTGAGCCAATGTCGGATGCTTAACCGACTGAGCCACCCAGGTGCCCCTATGGGTATGGAGCATTCAAATATAAGCCAGACATATCCCCTATTATAAGTAGTTCAAAATATAGAGAAACAAATCATTTATTGAAAAAAAATTACCTCTATTACCAGGTAGACGGATTGGAAGAGAATATTCTTGGAATACGAAGACAAGAGAGATTAATTTACCCATAGAAAATTGGAGATCTCTTTTTTTTCCTTCCCCTCCCCCATGGGTTTCTGTTAAGTTTCTCAGGATCCACATAAGAGTGAAAACATATGGTATCTTTCTCTGTATGGCTTATTTCACTTAGCATAACACTATCCAGTTCCATCCACATTGCTACAAAGGTTAGTGGGAGAGAGCCAAAGCATAAGAGATTCTTAAAAACTGAGAACAAACTGAGGGCTGATGGGGGGTGGGTGATGGGTATTGAGGAGGACACCTGCTGGGAGGAACACTGGGTGTTGTATGGAAACCAATATGACAATAAATTTCATATATTTAAAAAAAAGAAAAGAAAAGAAAATTGGAGGTCTCAGGGAAACTCAATCTTGTCAATTTGACTCAAGTTTGACAAATGTTTTATTTTTATTTTTTTTTAAATTTTTTTTAACGTTTATTTATTTTTGAGACAGAGAGAGACAGAGCATGAACGGGGGAGGGTCAGAGAGAGGGAGACACAGAATCTGAAACAGGCTCCAGGCTCTGAGCCATCAGCACAGAGCCCGATGCGGGGCTTGAACTCACGGACCGCGAGATCGTGACCTGAGCCGAAGTTGGCTGCTCAACCGACTGAGCCACCCAGGTGCCCCAACAAATGTTTTATTTTTAAAATAAAAAGCACATCAACTGTAGGAAATAACTTGAGTAAATTCATTGAGTTGTGGAAATGCAGTTCATATCCATAAAAGTAGTTCAGGGTGGATGAGTGTAAACTTAGTGAAAAGAAACAGTGTAAAGAGAAGGCCAGAGCAATTATAACAGGTTTCTAGTGGACATTGAATTTAGCATACAGACTAGTTTAATCATTCTTAGGTATTGCTGGGGTAGTGAGAGAACCACGAACAAGGGAATTATGAGATATGAATTATCTGGATTTATATGGCTAAGTGTCAGATGGTGTGATATCTGTATTCATTGAAATAAAAACTGGAGGTGAGGAAGCAAGATGGAGACTTTTGCCAAACTGTGTTCTGGAATGAAAGAATGGTAAGGTAAATTGAGAGACACTTATTAGTTTATATATTGCACACACATGCTGCAAGATTACTGGCCATTATAAAAGTCTACAAAGTAAATAGTATGGGAAAAAGAAAAATGTTATTATTAGGAGTAATTCTATACAAATACCTTTAAGGAAATATTTTGATAGATTTTGCTCACCTGGAAGAGAAAGGGACAAAGACACGGATGATTATGGTTAAATGAAAACGATCTTTGCAAAACATCATAAACTTTTAATTATAACTTGTTATAGTAGAAGCTGATGGGAAAGTTATATGCTTTAAAAGTCTATCAATAATGTTTTCCTAATGTTTCATAATGTTCGTATGTTTACCAGCAATTTCTAGCAATCTGTACTGGTGAAGAATAAATATGAAAATAACACAATCATCCTATAAAGGTTGGAATAACTTTCTCTGATTGTCGTTTTATTTGACACTATGCCATGAAGTTTATATTAACATTAGTAATGCCAAACTTTTTTGCAGACAGATGAGATACCATAATGTATTTAATGATATCTTGACAGTATGTTGATGATCGCATTGCAACATTTATATGGGAAGATAAGCATTTTTAATCTGCTGTCAGATTAAACCAGTTGGAGAAAAATGCGCTTGAATGTTCCACTGTTACTTTCTATGCCTTTGACATCAAGCTTTAGAACAGCAAAATTCAGTGAATGATAGCCTGTTATATCTTTCAGATGTTTGTAAAGAAATATGTGATTCAATTAAATTTTCCAAAGCTTATTTCTGTAGGCAAAATACATTATCAGTTGCCGGATGTCTGTTGACACAAATATAAAGTCATAGTTAGGGTTACATACTTATTTGCACACACTATCTCTTTTAACAAATGGACTTTAGTTTTAGAACTGTTTTAAGTGCACCTCAAAATTGAGCTGAAAGTACAGATATTTCCATATATTCTTGCCCCCACACATTTATAGCTTCTTCCACTATTCACGCACCCCCAACAGAGTGGGAAATTTGGTATAATCAATAAACCTACACTGACACATCATTATCACCAAGAATCCATAGCTTACATTACACACTTTTAATGCATATTCTGTAAGTTTGGACAAATACATAATGACATGTATCCACTATCATAGCGACATACAGAGAAGCTTCACTCCCTAAAAATCCTTGGTGCTCCACTTATTCATCCCTCATTCCCCTCTCTCGGCTCTTTTTAAATGGTGTGAAAAATAAGATGATGATCATTCAGACAGCAATGGTACACAAATAAGAAAGGTAGAATGGATAAAATGAAGCAAATGACAGTCACTCTTATTGAAGTGATGAATTAATGTAATTTTAGTTTAAAAAATTGTTGATAAACTGTATTATATAGATCAGCATATCTTTGTGGTGATTTCATGCTTTTATTAAATGGAGGTTTTCAAATTATAACTCATTGTAACCATTATTTTTTTTTTAAGGAGATAGAAATTTATTGGATACCCTGCAAGGGAGCAGTGGAGAAGACAGCAGAGGAGAGGCTGTCTGCCTTATTGAGACCATTCATATTCCAGAACGATAAAGATGAAAAGTACAATCTGAAAAAGGATAGCATATCTACAGTGATATATGCCTTTGTCGTTTTAACAATATGCCAGGTACTTTTATATTTTGTGAGTAAATGAACAAATCATTTGGAACATCAAAGGAGTTCATTCAATTCCAAGTAGTGTTGCCATTTATTTTAGTTGGAAAATGAATATTTATTTTAATGTAGATTAGAATTAATTTTCATTTCTGTTTTAGTCATCCATAAAACCATGTATGAAATATAGCAAAAAGAGAAAACAGAGTAACTCAATGTCATATAATCTGTCTCAGACAGATGCTATTTGTTTAAGTGTATTTTCTTTAATGTTGCCTTTGGAACATGAGTCTGCCAAGACACAATTTTCCTCAAAACTTAATCATAGTTCTTTCAAACACCAAAGTTAAAAATAACTGCTACTTTTTTGTATTTATTTTGGCCTAACCGAATTCCACAAAAGTTTTAATGTAGTTTACCAGGTAACTATAACATTAAAAAAAAAACAAAACACCATGTTAAAATCTGAAAAAGTAACATAAACATAACATTGAGGACTTAGAAAAAAAGTAAATTTAATTCTGAGTCCCACTCAATGTAAAATTTGGGCAGCAATGTTTTATTCTCTTCATCTGAGCTTTTAAAGCAGAACAGGAATCACAATAATTCATATGATTGATGTTGAATAAAATGAAAGTCATTTCTAGCTGATTCCCAAGAGAGACCTTCAAAGCACATCAGTCATTTAAACGATTTTGTTCTCTTTCTCTGTCTCAGACAAACTCAAGTCACCAACATCTTGCCTGTGGACTAATAAAACATTTTCCTGTTGGTCTTTCCATCCACTTTTTACTAGTCTTCTACACACACATAGCAGTATGTTCTCCACACAGAAGTGTGATCCTTTAAGAATGAGCAGATTTTGTATGATTGCTTCCCAGAAAACTTCCAATGGTTATCTCAAACCCTTGGAATGCAATATGAACTTCTTACTCTGACTTGTATGTTCTCATGTTATGAGGCTATTGAAGACCACTGTGGCTCAAATAACACATCCCATCTCTTCCATTCCAGTCATATTGAACCTTTCTACCACTCTAGAACACTTCACAAAACTCTTAAATAGAGGACTGGACACATGTTATGACAGAAACATGAAACCCTCTTCTTTTTTCTTTAAAACAAACATTTATTTATTTATTTATTTATTTATTTATTTATTTATATTTTGAGGGGGAGGGGAAATGGGAGAGGGAAAGAGAGAATTCCAAGAAGGCAGGCTCTGCGCTGTCATCACAGAGCCCAAGGAGGGGCTCACTGTCAGTACCATGAGATGATGATCTGAGCTGAAATCAAGAGTTGGCCACTTACCCGACTGAGCCGCCAAGGAGCCCCGCATGAAACACTTTTAATTCTGATATGCAAATGTCTCACTTCCTTGTTTCGTATCTCGAGTGTCAGGAGTCTTTCCTTACAAACCTGTATTTTCAAAAAGCAACCTCAGTGGAGCCTTGTGCAAACATCATCTCAGTGAAACCTCTGACCACCCTGGCTCGCCCTGTCCAAATTCTTCTATTTATATATCTTCATGGCATTCATTTCCTTCTAATATACTTTTTCACTTATTATTTTTTCTGTGTTTGTCTCTGTCTCTCTCTGTCTACTAGAATGAAAGCTTCTTGTGGGAACGAATTTTTGACTTCTTTGTTCCATACGGTGTCGCCAGTGCCTGTCACAGTGTATAGCACTTTGTAGGTGTTCAATAGACATTTGTTGGCTGAATGAAAAAACTAAATTTTTTTTTTAAAGCAACCTTAGTCTTTCTCTCATCTATTACTTACCCCACTTAGCTTTTCCATACAGCATTTAATGTGATCCGTTATTGTATGTTTATTGATTTTAATGTGTCCTCATTGGAATTAAGCCCTAGAAGCTAAGGGACTGTTTTTGTCTGTTTTGATGAGACCACTGGACATAAAGTAGTATCCAACATATATAAAAAAAATCAATAAAATTTTAGCAAGTAATGCAAGAATTAATAATTGACACAAAACCATAGATATTTTTTTTTTCTGGCACTTATAACTGAGACAATTTATTTTAAAGGCTTCTCATAAAGGAGAAGACAATGTTAATCACTATGTGCAATAATTTATCTAAATGGTTATAATGGTTGGTTTTGTAGAACTTTTCAAAATTTAATTTCAAAGCATAACTCAAGAGCAGAATACTTTGGGGGTAAGGCATGAAGGAAGGACATGCAAGACAAGGTGATCTAAGTTGCATCTTGGTGCAATTCCAGCTTGATCCTTGCATAATAAATAATTATAAGAATGGTTGACGATACCCTTCATATGCTGTCTGTAAATTTCTCTCGAAGGGGCTTTTGATCAAAGTTTGGCAATAAAAATTTGAGGTTACATTTTATGCAAGGACTTGGGAGTGCTTTAAATATAGCATTAAACCCAAACCAAGAGAAAAATGAATCATAAATCACATAAACATATTATTTAAAATATTTTCCATAATTTTGAAGTTTCTGTTCCAACTTGAAAATGATTACCACCTTTTTATTTGTCTATTATGGTTGGGAGCACTCCTTGTAGATCTTACCCGGCTTTTCAGCAGAAAAGACATCTTTCTATAAAAGAGTAATATTAAAAATGATGTATAGGTGTGGAGACACTCCAGACATTCTTTTATTCCATACTGGCAACTGTTTCTGAATTTTAAATCTAATCCTAAAAGCCCCTCATGAGTCTATCTAAATAACTAAAAATCTTAAGTCTTAAATTCAAAATTTTAATGTTAGAAAAATAAATATAAAATTAAAAGCTATAGATTTTATGAAAAATAATATATTTTCTCCAACTTGCCTTTATAAATTTATTCCCAATTATTTTTTAATATAACCAAATCCTGAAGGTCAGTATCATTCTACATTATGCCCTAATTTTCTCATGGGAAATAAAAAAGAAATGGCTCATCACTGGATTGGCCAAAGGTAATATGAAGCTTTGGAATTTATTCTAACAGTTAAAATGAAAATACTTTTATATCTGGATTAAATGGGAAATCCAAAGTTTACCTTAAAATAGTCCATTTGTCTTATTAGGAAATTAATGCTGCAAATAATTCATCAATATTTAGGAATAGATCTTGATGATCTAAAGAAACAAATAAATTATAGTGATATGTGCTAAAAATATCATGGATAATTGATTTAAAATTTTAGTCAATACTAATTTGATATTTTACTAGTGTGTTATTTTTAAGTGCTGTTTTTATAGCTAACAAATATACTAAAATCAACTGTATTGTCTATATTTTTTTAGTATTAAATAGTTTTTTTATTTGTTATGGAAACATCATTTTCACAAGATGCATCCCCAAAAAGGAGGAATTCTCTATAAAAGTGGTAATATGTCCACCATATTGCTCATTTTGGATAGTCATGTGCACATTAGCATGTTAAATGCTTTCAAAAATTGTATAAACACATATTGCAAAAACTGAGGCAGACAACTGCTTTACTTTCATGGATGTTATCTTGATTGCAAGGCAAAAGGAGAAATGAAAACAAAGGGAGGTTTCCTCTCACATACCCTACAAAATAAAAAAGAAGTATATACAGAGAGTTGTATAAGGCCTATTAAAAAAAATAAAACTACATAATATCGCTTTCTAATAGAGATGTATATTTGAAACCTATTACTAACAGGAAAATAGCTACCTGTTAAAGAACATTCAATATGCATTAGGTAGGGGTAAAGTTATTAAAATTGTGTATCACCGTTTAGTTTCCTACAATGCTACCAGATGGAGAAAATGAGGATTGATGATGTCAATTAACTTGGCCAAGGACAATCACCTAGACATTGGCAGAGCCCGGATTGGTTGACACCGAATTATAATTCCTAAACACTACAATACATGGTGTCTAGGATCCTAGGTAAATCTATGAGTTTGTCAAAGGTTTCTTGAAATGTTAACTATGTGTCAAATAGTCTTCTAAATGCTGGTAGTTGAAAAGCCACAGTTTTAAGATCTAGTAACAAAACTGTTAACAGAAAAAACAAAAAAAGTCTAGCTTTTGTGGAGCTTAGTGGGGAGAAATGTACAATACAATGAATAAATACACCATTTCAGAAAATGGTAGATGCTCTGGAAATGAATAAAGCTAGATAAGTGAGATCAGGACTGAGAAGGCAAGGGTAATGGTGGCAATAAGGAACACATTTTTGCAATTTAGAACGGAAAACTAGCAGTGAATTCATCATTCATATCACCTCTTACTCTGATAATAAAAAATTAATCTATGAAGCAAAGAAAAAAGTAGAAAAGGCATTTTTATTCATTTTGAATGTTGTTAAATATACATAGATACTATAAAATTAACATTTTAGCCATTTTTAAGTGTATATTTCAGTAGCATTAACTGCATTCACACTGTTGTGAATGATCACCACTACCCATCTTCAGAACATTTTTTTTAAATTTTTTTAATGTTTGTTTATTTTTGAGACCGAGAGAGACAAAGCATGAATGGGGGAGGGTCAGAGAGAGGGAGACACAGAATCTGAAACAGGCTCCAGGCTCTGAGCTGTCAGCACAGAGCCCGGCGCGGGGCTCGAACTCACGGACTGCGAGATCATGACCTGGGCCGAAGTCGGCCGTTTAACCGACTGAGCCACCCAGGCGCCCCGCAGAACATTTTTTATCAGAATATTTTTATCATCACAAAAACTCTTTGTCCATTAAATAATAATTTTCCATTTCCCCTCTCTCCAGTGGGTGGTAACAACTATTCTATTTTCTGTATCGTGAATTTGGCCTATTCTAATTACCTCATTAAAAAAAAAAGCACAATATTGGTCCTTTTGTGTCTGGCATAATATCCTTAATATTTATCTACCTTGTAGTATGTTGGAATTTCATTTCTTTCTAAGGTTGAATAATATTCCATTGTATATCTATCTATCTCTATCTATCTATCTATACCTTATGTTGTTGCTCCATTCATCTATTGATGGACATTTGGGTTGTTGTATCTTTTGGATTTTTTTAATAATA